TCAAACGAACCAGGATAAAAATAACTTTGTCTTTCCATTATTGTTGAGCCTTTAAGAAAAAGAAAAAGAGAAACTTATTCAACCCCCCCCCCCCCCCCCCCATTCTAAGTGTTTTCTCCACCTTCAGACACATCCTCCTTATGGATCAACTCATCCTGGTCTCATAAACAGCATGTATCGACACATGCATCTCTCCAATCGACTTATCCTGAGTCTTGAAAACTTCATGTGTCGATGCAAGCCCCTTTCGTATCGACTCATCCTAAGTCTTACATCCCTCATGTATCGACACATCAAGTTTGAGGTCGATACATCTTGACCCTTCCTGCATAATTTCACGATTTCCTCTACATTTTTACTACGGGAATAATATTCTTAACCTTACAAACCTTATTATAATCATGATAAATCATCACCTAACATTATCCTATAGTACTACATCGATCAAACAACATAATGACATCATTATTCATCTAAAATTCATCAAATCTTCATCATACATCATCATATACATCCAATTCAAGAACAAAACAGCAGTCCCCTCTAACCCCACATATCAATCATCATGAACCCAATTATAAGGTCAGAACCCCACCCTTACCTTGGATTGAAGGTCGCTCTATACTTTTCGGGTTGAATTCACGTTCTTGCCGTTTTCCACTATTTCCAACAGCTCCATGTTCTCTTCCAAATATTTATTCTTTCTACTGCTTCTTTCTTTCTATTCCTTCTAACAAACAATAAAATAACCCTATTATTTTATTATTCCTTATTGGGCTTAAAACCTACACCCCCTTATTACTTCTACTTCCTTAAAATAAGCCCACATTAAATAATATTACACTTCTAATATTATTTCTCCACATAATAAAATAAATCCAATTAATCACAACACAACTTCTCAAATATTCCAAAAAAAATAATTTAATGAAATAATTAATTTAATTACGGGCGTTACAACTCTCCCCCACTTAGAATATTTTCATCCTAAAATTTTTACCTCAATCAAACAATTCAGGATAGGAGTCTCGCATCTTGCTCTCCAACTCCCAAGTCATGCTTTCTCCGGCAGCTCCTAGTCAAACCACTTTAACCAAGGCAATCTCTTTTCCCCTCAGAGTCTTAATTTCACGATCTGCGATCCGTACAGGCATCGTCTCCACCGTAATATTATCCCGTACTTGCACATCATCCATATGAATCACATGAGATGGATCTGAAATATACTTCCGAAGTTGCGACACATGAAACACATCATGCAAATTCGAAAGATTAGGCGGTAAAGCCACTCTATAAGAAACATTCCCCACTCTCTCCGAAATCTGATACGGTCCAATAAAATGAGAAGTGAGCTTCTTAGACTTCAATGCTCGCCCAACACCAGTCACATGTGTAACTCTCAAAAACACATGATCACCAACTTGAAATTCTAAATCCTTCCTTCGCTTGTCATGATAACTCTTCTGTCTACTTTGAGAAGCTTTCATCTTCTATCGAATCAACTTCACCTTCTAGGTAGTCTCGCGAACAAGTTCAGGTCCAAGTACTACACTTTCACCAGATTCATGCCAACATAACAGAGTTCTACATCTTCGAACATACAACACCTCAAAAGGTTCCATCCAATACTGGAATGGTAACTGTTATTATAAGTGAACTCTATCAACGGAAGATAAGTATCCCATGAACCTCCCTGCTCAAGAACACATGCCCTAAACAAGTCTTCCAACGATTGAATCATCCGTTCAGTCTGACCATCTGTCTGAGGATAATACGATGAACTCAACCTCAACTTAGAACCCAACACTTCTTGCAAACTCTTCCAAAAATCAGAAGTAAATCTTAGATCTCTATCTGACACAATGCACAAAGGAACACCATGCAGCTTCACACTCACACTAATATAAATCTCAGCCAACTTCGGCACTGGAAAACTAATGTTAATAGGAATAAAATGAGCTGACTTCGTAAGCCTATCAACAATCACCCAAATCGAATCATGTCCTCTTAAAGTATTAGGCAACCCTGTCACAAAGTCCGTTTAATTTCTATCCCATTTCCATTGTGGAACTTCCAACGGTTGCATCAATCCTGCAGGCTTCTGATGTTCAACTTTTGACAACTGGCAAGTCAAACATGCATACAAAAAACCGAGCCACGTCACTCTTCATCCCAGGCCACCAAAAAAAACCTTTCAAATCTTGATACATCTTTGTAGCTCCTGGATGAATACTCAACTTACTTCTATGACTTTCTTCAAGTATCACTTTCTTCATCTCAGCATCATCAGGAATACAAATCCGATTACGAAACCTCAACACACCTTGCTCATCAAGCTTAAAATCACTATTCTCAGATTGATCAATCCCAACCATCAAATCTACCAGTTTCACATCCAACTTCTGAGCTTCTCTGATACTGTCTAGAAATTCATTATTAATCTTCAACATACCCAACATCACACTTTGCAGAGTAACCTCGCAAACTAAGCTCATATCTCTGAACTGCTCAATCAATTCCAACTCTTTAATCATCACTTCTGACATATGTAAAGTCTTTCGAATCAACGTATTAGCTACCACATTTGCTTTTCCTGGATGATAACTCAAACCAAAATCAAAATCCTTTAACAATTCCAACCATCTTCGTTGCCTCATATTCAACTCCTTTTGATCAAACAAATACTTTAAGCTCTTATGGTCACTAAACACTTTAAATCTAGAACCATAAAGATAATGCCTCCAAATCTTCAATGCAAAAACAACTGCATCAAGCTCTAAATCATGTGTAGGATAGTTCTTCTCATGAGTCCTTAACTGCCTTGGCGCATAAGCAACTACCTTACCATTCTGCATAAGCACACCTCCTAAACCCATCTTAGAACAATCACAATACACTACAAAAGGCTCTCCTGGATTAGGTAACGTCAAAAGCGGAGCCGACGTCAACCTCTTCTTCAATTCTATAAAACTTTCTTCGCATTGAACATCCCATACAAACGCTCTACCTTTACAATTCTACTTAGTCAACGAAAGTGACAACTTAGTAAACCCTTCAATAAACCTTTTATAATAACCAGCTAATCCCAAGAAGCTTCTAATCTCCGTAGTTGACTTTGGAGTTTCCCATTGCAACACAGCATCAACCTTCGATGGATCTATAACAATGCCACTACCTGAAATCACATGACCAAGAAAACTAACCTCTTTTAACCAAAATTCAGACTTAGACAGCTTTGCATACAACTTCTTCTCTTTCAAAATTTGCAATACCACTCTTAAGTGTTCAGCATGCTCTTCTTCTGACTTAGAGTAAATCAAAATATCATCCATGAACACCACTACAAACCGATCCAAATAAGTATGAAAGATACAATTCATATATTCCATGAATATTCCCGGCGCATTAGTAACACCGAAAGGCATCACTGAATACTCATAATGTCCATAACACATTCTGAAAGCCGTCTTCTGAATATCTTCATCCTTCACTTTAATCTGATGGTAACTCGAACTTAGATCAATCTTACTAAACACATGGGCATCCACCAATTGGTCCATCAAGTCATCTATTCTTGGAAGCGGATACTTGTTCTTAATCATCACTTTATTCAGCTGTCTATAATCAACACAAAGCCTCATACTTCCATCTTTCTTCTACACTAACAACACTGGAGCTCCCCATGGTGATACACTTGGTCTTACAAACTTCTTCTTGTAGCGGTGAAAATCGGAGATCAAGCTATTAATTAACTTGACTCACAAAAAGCAAGAGTCGCCACCGCGCTTTATTATTTCCAAGGGAAAAGGGAAAAGAGCAAAATAAAACCCTAAAGTATGCAATGTAAAATAAGACTTAAAAGTAATAAAAATACAATGCGTTTTTGAAAGAGATCGAGAGTTCGGGGGTTGGTTATACAATGGGAAGGTATTAGCACCCAATGCATCTGCGGTACTCCGCAGGAACCTTTTGAAATATCTGTTTTTGGTTAAAATTGTTTGTTTGATTAGAATGGTTCGTTTGACTAAAAATATGGGTATGGACGAGATTTTTGAAGATGCGACGACCTAGTGTCGAAGTTTTGACTTAAAAGGTATGAGTTTGAAAATGGAGTCTTTTGGGAAAATTATCTTAAGTTTGGAAAAAAAATAGTAAATAAGCAAAAAATGGATGAGGGTATTCGCACGATTGTAACAAATATATTTGATGACATGAAGTCAACAAAGTTAAAAACATTTCCCTTGGAATTAAAACCACAGACAGATAAATAAGCTAAGAGTATATCAAACCTCAGGTGAAAATAAATCACGAGCCGACAGCGTAAAAAAAAAACCAGATGTAAGATAATACTCCCAGCAGCGAATAAAGCGCAATGAACCACAAGCGAGAAGTGCAACGCATGAAAATAAATCACGAAAAAAGAAATCGTGGATGACACTCACGGTATAAGATTCCCTACATCACATGAAAAACTCCAACAACCAGATAAACAGGGTAACAGAGAAATAATATGAACATCTCATGTGAAATAAAGAATCAAGCTATGGGACCGGAATGCGTCAAATCGAAATCCATAAAATAAACTGGTCAATGAAGTTTATACATCCGTTATATATTCGAAAATTAAATCGAGTTCAAAATGTGAAATCACAATGAAATGATATAAAATAGACAACATAACTTAAATTTATTTACAAGATAAAATTCTAACTAAATCTAAAACTCAAAAGTTTCTATTAAATAAAACAATAAGAAAATTAAATCACAAATTGAATTTATTTACAAACCAACAAATTAATTACACATTACATAATGTACTAAAGTAATCTAAAAAAACAAAAGATAAACATTATTACTTCTAACTTTAAAATCTAATGTCTTAACTTTTTATTTATTTTGGGATAAACTTTTGAATATAAAAAAACAATAAAACTAAATTAAAAGAGTGAATATACAAAAATGATAACTAAATTAAAAAAAGAATAAAAGAAACAGAGCCACTACATGATTGAGGAGTATGTAAAGAAACTTACGCGGAAACAGAGGGTGATAGCTGGCGGAATCGTACCAGTCAAATTGTTGACATGAAGAAGCAATTTTTCCAATTTCAAAAGCTTACCAATATCCTTAGGAATAGAACCTGTCAACTGATTGGAGTAAAGCTCCAAAACTGTGAGATTTGCAAGATTAACAATTCCATCACCAATTGTTCCATCAATTTTATTCAATGGCAATGATATTTCAATGAGTGAAACAAACATCATAAACATCAATTGGGATATTCCCTGATAGTAGATTGAAACCTACTCTAAATCTCACAAGCTTAGAACATGCACCTAAACCAGTCTGAATAGCATCGTCAAAATCATTGGAAGAAAAATCCAAGAATCTCAAAGAAGAACTCTTATCTCCTTCAGCAAGATTCCGAATCAGAGAAACAGGCAATGTTCCATTGAATGAATTACTAGACAAATCAAACACCTGAACAACAACACTGCCATTTCTGATTCCATTCCAAAGTGGCAGTTCACCGGAGAAACGATTGTAACTCAAATCAAGAACTAAAAGATGGTTATGAATTGAAAAAAAAACGGACTTTGAAGATTACCATGAAGTTTATTATGAGAGAGATTAAGATGAGAAAGAGATTGAAGAGAAGATGTGAACAGAGGCGGTTAGTAGTAACAGGCTCAGTAACACGATTTGAATCTTCAGAAGAAGAATCAATACCAGGAAGTGATACCGAAAGTGAAGTTGGAGGATCATTGGATTTGGAAGACGACGTCGTTTTCGATTCTACGAGAGGTAGAGCCGCAACGGTTCTTGTAGGGACAGGACGATAAATATGAGAAGAGTTCACTATAGGTACATTGGACTCGCTTACATCGGATCCAGAAGGACTTCCCGGAGTGGGAGGGTTCTTGTAAATCCCATTACCAACAGGTATAGCAGCACCAACACTTACAGATCTTTTCAACGATGGAGATTCATCGATCATAATAGAAGAACACTTGCGTTTCAAAGTAGAGTTCCAGTGATTCTTAATCGCGTTGTCGGTTCGACCCAACAGAAGGCGGGCTATGGCAGATACGGTGAGGATGTTAAACGATGCAGTAGCGCGTGAAAAGGAAGAATGAGGGATAGGATAAGAGTTGTTTGGAGGGAGATGAAGGGTGTTTGGTAGTTTTCGGTGATGGTGGTCAGGAGTGGTTTCGGAAATGAGATAAGGGTGCTGGTAAGAGACTGAGTTGTGGTGGTTTAGTGGAATAGCGAAGAAGGGTTGTGTTTTCTGTTCTCTGAAACTCTTCTCGCGGTAGTTGAGACGAATCAAAATGGAGTGTGGTAGTGGGGAAAGTGATATGAAGTATGGTTAGAGAAAGATGTTGGTTTTGTTGTATTTTTTTGTTGTTGTATTCCACAAAGAAAAAAGAGACTATTAAAGTAGTCAGATGAAGAGGAAAAATGATTTTAGCTTGCAATCATATCCGTCCATTATTTTCATTAATCCTGCACAACTTCTATCAACCAATTAGAAAAAAGAATAGTTTAACAAAAAAAATTAATGATTAAAAATCCCTCTAAAAATAAAAATGACTTAAAAACCTGAAAGTGTACAAATTAATGCAATTTAAAATATATTTTTTTTAATTTTTCTAAATAAAAATAAAGACCCAAGATGATCGAAAATGATAAAAAACGGACGAAAATTTATCCGAAAAAATAAAATGAACATATTAAAATAATCTACATGTCACAAAGATTAAAGAAAAAATATTCAAGAAGTCAAAAATCAAAAATAAAATAATAATAATAATATCAGACTAAACAGACGTTTAAGGTTAAAACGAGACTTCGAACTGTACCGAAAAATAAAGCGAGCATACCGTCATAATCTACGCGAAGCGCAGATTCATAAAATGATCGGTAAAAGGTGAAAACTTGAAATATTTTCTCGCTACTTTCCCGCATAGTGTCAAATCGCTTTTAACAGTTTGTCTATAAAATCAAAACATTTTTATTATCGACATATAAACAACTTGGAGCAGTGCGAGAAAAATAGTAAACAGATAAAAATGAATGAAGTGAAATGTCGGGTATTTTACAACTGAAAGACGATGCAAACTTTGATTTAAACTGACTTTTTCTGGTCAACTTAAATACGACTAATGATGCAAAATGTGATGAATGAAGATATTTACTAATGAACGTGACCAAATGACAAAATATGGTATGAATGTGCGAATGAAAAAATTAGGGGAGAAATTAAGGGTGCAACGGTGTGCCTTGATGACTCAGTCTTCGAGAATCCACAATCAACCGTACTTCGGGCTTGGGAGACTCAAAACCTTAATTGAGGCGCGACACCTGATGCTCTTGATTCAGACCTGTCTCTGCATATGACACAAAAGAAAACATGAACATACACTTTTGTATGCGATTAGAAATTAGTGATGCATAGGCTCAAAATGTTCAAAACACTTGACAATCTTCGCATAGTCAAAGCTCGAAGGTGAGACGTTAAAACCGACCGTATTTCGTGACCTTGACTTATCTTAAAAATGCAAAAACCAAAATGGGATCTTAGGTCAAAAATTGGGGTACAACAGCTGCCCCTATTTAAGTTTCTTCTATCTGGAGATATGAAGATTGGGATCTTAATTTCGACGAGATTGAAGGGACTTAAATATAGAATACACAATTTTTGGCCTTAAGATACCGCGATTATGTTCATGATATGATATGAATGTAATGCTCTGAATTTTATGGGGAATAACGCCATACGAGACGGACTATGCTGGAGAAACCAAGCACATTATACAGTGATCCCACAGAGGAAGAGGTTGTAACTCCACTGGGGAAACAAAGTCATAGACTTCAAATGAGAGACTCTTGAATGATTTACATCAGTGTTGAGACTGGAAAAGAAATGATTTACATCAGTACGAAGACTGGAAAAAACATATGATTGACATCAGTACTGTGATTGGAAAACAAAATGATTGACATCAGCACTGTGGTTGGAAAACAAAATGATTGACATCAGCACTGTGGCTGGAGATAAACATCTCTGATTTCTGAATTTTACTAAGAACGGTAACACATTTCTTCTCTAACCAAGATATCGCTTGAAAAGGATAAAATAACAAACTTCCCCACGGGACTTTTCCAAAAGGGATGCCATTTGCTGAGTAGACATTATTGTTGGGGATACACAAGCTGCTCAGATAAAGAGGCCGCCACTTGCTTCCTTTTAAAGGTGTCAATAACATACAAGCTGCTCATGAAGAGACCGCCGCTTGTCGTTTCCTTTCAAAATTACCACTAACACACAAGTTGCTCATGAAGAGACCGCCGCTTGTTGTTTTCTTTCAAAATTACCACTAACACACAAGTTGCTCATGAAGAGACCGCCGCTTGTTGTTTTCAAAGGTATCCATAACACACAAGTTGCTCAAATACCGGGGCCGCCACTTGCTACTTATAACCCACAAGCTTCTCATGAAGAGCTGCCACTTGCTGTCTTCAAAGAATATCAAAGCACACAAGCTACTCATGAAGAGTCCGCCACTTGTTGCCAAAAACCCACAAGCTGCTCATGAAGAGCTGCCACTTGCTGTCTTCAAAGAATATTAAAACACACAAGCTACTCATGAAGAGTCCGTCACTTGTTGCCAAAAACCCACAAGCTGCTCATGAAGAAGCTGCCACTTGTTGTCTTCAAGGGAACAATACCATAAGTTGCTCAAATAGATAAGCTGCCACTTGCTGTCTTCAAAGAACTAACGTACAAGCTGCTCATGAAGAGACCGCCACTTTCCGTTTTCCGTACAAGCTGCTCCTGAAGAGACCGCCACTTGTCGTTTTCCGTACAAGCTGCTCATGAAGAGACCGCCACTTGCCATTTTCCGTACAAGCTGCTCATGAAGAGACCGCCACTTGCCATTTTCGTACAAGCTGCTCCTGAAGAGACCGCCACTTGTCGTTTTCCGTACAAGCTGCTCATGAAGAGACCGCCACTTGCCATTTTCCGTACAAGCTACTCATGAAGAGACCGCCACTTGCCATTTTGAGAAGTGTTGATAACATACAAGTTGTCCATGAAGAGACTTCCGCTTGCTGTTTTTGAAAGTGTTGATAACATACAAGTTGTCCATGAAGAGACTGCCGCTTGCTGTTTCTTTTCAAAATTACCAATAACACACAAGTTGCTCATGAAGAAACCGCCGCTTGATGTTTTTCAAAATAACACAAGTTGCTCATAAAGAGACCGCCGCTTGCTGTTTGTCAAGAGTATCCATAACACACAAGTTGCCTCATGAAGAGACTGTCGCTTGCTGTTTGTCAAGAGTATCCATAACACACAAGTTGCCTCATGAAGAGACTGCCGCTTGCTGTTTCCCAAAAAGATACCCATAAAATATCATGAAGATATTGCTGGAGGTGAGAACCAATAATTTCATCGGGGATGGACAAACTGCTCATGAAGAGATCGCCATTTGTCGTAGAGAAATCAGAAATAATCAAACTGCTCAAATAAAGTGTCAGTCGCTTGTTGTCATGTCGATATTCCAGAAGAAGGTTGTGATAACACTGCTGGGGAATAAAGTTCATCTTCAATGGGGAACCAGGAATAAATCCTTCTTGAGGAGACCAAGTATTTACGTTGCAAAATAAATGCGCTCTCCATATAGGTTTCACAGCCTAGAGAGATCCACAGGGTATCGTTCACAAGAGACAAAGCTCAATCCAGGAATAAACTGGAGAGAAAATAGTCAAACAAGACTCCACCTAATGAGGAAACAAACTCAAATGGGGATTTATCCTATCCAGAGATGGAAAAGGAAAGCTAAAGCAAGATTCTTCCACAAGAGTTAACTCAGTGGGGAATTAGAAGAAGAGGCGCACTTTCTGCTTAAGTTGACACTCTATTTGGAAAGATCAAATACGTTAGTTGAATAGACATAACCAAGGTATACGAACTCAAAGATATCAACAAATACAAATGTGCGTGCATGATGCAAGTATGAACGAATGAATGAATGTCATGTATATGTTGACAAAACAGACAGGGGAGATAGACAGAAGATGATAAGACGTCCCAGTACAACCCGACACTCAGCTAATCTCAACAAAAGGGGAACATTACTGGAGATAAAAACAAAATCCATCATTGGAGCAAAGTCCTTTTACAAGGCTTAAATCTCTTTGGAGAGGGAGATATTTTTCGGTAGAAAGCCCAAAGTTCAGTCTTCTATCACTAACAATCCCTTGAAAGGATGACAACACGAACACTGTTTCGGCTGGAAAAAGTCATGCTTAGCTGGAGATACTGGGAACACCACCCTCTGATAATGTATGAAAAACATATCACATATCTTAACAAATCTGGATTGCCCCTGGGACTAATTTTGGATGCCCCAAGTTTACTGCTGATAAGCTGCGTGATGCATGACAATTCTTGCGAATAACTTCACTTTTAAAATGCCCCAAGCTATATGGTTGATGAGGAGAAATCGTCTTAAGAGGATTTTACAAAAGACCTGGCATTCACCATGCTCTGGTGTCTTCAAACTCTTAGAGAGATTCATCAAATCTCGACGTGATTGCCCCGGATTGACTGTAGTTGGCACAACGAAGTCTTTAAATTTTGCCCCAATAAAGGGTAAACAAGTTGGGAAAGCATTAACTGGGAGAAGCAACATGTTCATGCTTACGGTCTTCAGGTGACATGCCCCTGGATATGATTTTTCTTGACGTGATCTGCCAATTACTCAACATAGTTTCAGGCCTTAAAAGAATAAACTCATCACTGGTGCTTATATGTGAGTTTCCTTGATATCAAACAAATGTTTTGCAGCTAAAAATTTTTATTATGAGAATGAAAATTCTAATGCAACAGTTATGTAAGTCTTGAAGATTTTGAAAAGATATCGCACAAATTTTGTGAGTTAGAGCATCATTTATTTTTGTATAGGAAAAACATATGATACCAACATAACTATTTAACAATCGTTCATGGGAGTTAGGAACACTATCTCATGGAAGTATGCTTTCAAAATAACCTTGCTTCAATTAGGACTTTTGAAGGTTGTAACGTGGTCTGGTTCATGGTTTTAGAAAAAAGGATTTAAGGCTCAAAGTATTTGGTGCCCACCCCCTTCATGATGTTCTCCAACCCTATGTTCAGTTAATTCAACATGAGTGTTCATCTCTCAAAAGGATTTTGTGACGGTCAAGGAAACGACGAGGCTTTCGGAGTAGAAACCACCCTCATGTCTTCGTGTTTGTAGTCACCAATTGGTTCTTTGCTGAGGACTTTTCTTTGCAGTCCTTTTCTTTGCAATTTTATTTTCCATAACTTTTGCCTGAACTAATTCTTTTGAATTGATAGTCCAGCGGGATGCCTTAATTTTGCCTAAGTCACACGTTTTCATGTTTTTTACTTAGCAGGCTTTTTCTTTTTCTCAATTTTTTGACTTTTTGAACAAAATGTGTGACATTAGCTTGTATTTGCTTGTTGAGAAGATTGTGATTGCCTCGTTTCTTGATGAATGAGGGATAACATTATGATTCCACATCTTCTGGCTTCATTATACATGAAAGATAGCCCTCGTAGTTTCTCTTCAAAAAACATCTTCCTTATGAATTTCGAACACTCAGTCAGATTAACTGAAAACTACCCTGCCCCAGGTTAAAAGTTAAGGGTTTTTTCGTATAGAAAAGAAACTTCTACTTCAAGGCTCAAAAGGGGTTAGCAAGGGATTATCTTCCTTATATCTCCGGTGTTTAGGGATTAGAAACAATGCATGTACATCATCAGCAAGATTTTATCCAAAAGCAAACAATCAGAGATTTTGTGTTCATTAGATCATCATCCTCCCTTCAATCTCTGCCTAGGCAAGAGAATGGGCAACAAGTTGGTATCATAATGCCAAAAGGAATTTAAAATTTGAAAACAAACATGAGTGAAACGAATGAATTTCTTCAAGACAAACATACTCATTGTATTAAGATAATCATTCAGATGCAAACAAGTTCTTACATGCAAACAATGTTTTGATAAACAAGAAAAATTACAAAAAGCAGAAATAAGTTAATAATCTAGGAAGGCTTTCCATCTGGACTTGAATTACCGAAAACATCATTCAAAACTCAAAGTGACCATCAATCATGTTTACTCTTCGGCACGTGCTTGATTTGAACTTCAAAACCAACGTCCTTGAATGACAAGATACCACTTCTGACCAACTTCTGAACCTCAATCTTCAAAGTAAAGCAACCCTCCAAGTCATGCCCAGGAGCACCTTGATGAAAGGTACAAGCCAAATAAGCTTTGTAGTACCAATGTATCTTCTCGAGAACCTTCGGTGGAGGTCGGGTCTGAACCAAATTCCTCTGCATCAGGATAGGGAACAACTCTGTATAGGTAATTGGAATTGGATCAAACTGGGTTTTCCTCTGATTAGGAACTTGCTGATTTTGTTGATGAATAGGAGAAACATGATGATTCTGACGATGATTATTTCTTCCTCTTGTTCTCTTCTTGGAAAAGTTATTATCAAACTTCTTCACACCATTGGTTGAGCTACCATCTTCATATGAACATCCCTTCCCAACATCTTCTTCTAGACGCACTCCCACATTCACCTTGTCAGGAAAGTCACTAGGCGCGTTAATTATCATCTTCTCATGAATGAATGATTTCAGAGTTTCAGTGAAGGATTTTATCATCGCTTCCTCCCTCTTAAAATGATTGACTTGGGCGGCAACCATAATTTCAACCAAAACAGTTGAGTGATCCATACCAGCTTTCAAAATAGTCATCTCTCTACGGAGTTCAGAAACCTCTTGCTTGATATTCTCCATCGTTCTCTTAGCGCGAGTGTTGTACTGGTGAGACCAAAGGAAAAATAAGACTCGGAAAAAGACATTTGAAAGTGAAACAAAAAATGTAGAATGATGTATGATATGTAAAAGAGAATTTTTATTTGATTTTCAAAGAACTCAAGATATTGAGTTGTAAACATCAAGGTATGAAGATAGAAGATGAATTCTAAATTGGATCAAAGCGTTGATCGAGTTATCATCAAGATCAATCATCCATTTTGGTGGATTAGGGTTTTCACCCTATCAACACCCAAGATCCATTGAGCTTGACGAAACTTGTGATGTTTACAAAGAAAGGCCTCCAAATTCCTTGAAAGTCAAGTGAAAAGGGTTTTATGGATGCATGAATGCACGACTATGCAACAACCACAAGCAAGGTCACAAATAAAGTCGAAAGGTTCAACGTCACGAGCATGGAGTCAAGGTAAGGAACACCCTCAAGGTATGTACTAATGGTTTAATCACACATGTAGAACAAGGTTCTAAGAGTTCCCGGAGTCTACATTCCTCCTTCGGATATTACCAACGTCTTGATTACTCAATAATCAGCAATATTCTCAAGAGAAACTCATCCGAGCATAGCATCGCGTGACAACTACTTCCGGATTACTCCGTTATAATCTCCGCGCTACACCTAAAAGGCCAAGATGGGTTAGGGTTCTACGGTTCCCAGCTTCTCTGGCTCCCAGGTCGAAAATAATAATGTCTTCCCGATTACTCGGTAAACAAATATTACGTTCAAAAGGGCCTTCCACTGAGTGGGGGATCTCATGCCTCCTTCTTCGGGATTACTCCCTCAAAGTTAACATGACTATACCGCCCGTCCTATTCCTAAGTGTAACTTAGTCCAGGTATAGGACTTGTCTTTTGTTAATATTATCAACACCCAAATAATCATATAACCAAACAATCAAATAATGCTAAAACAGATAAAACAAATTAGGCTTAACCCACTTAGGGATGGACCAGCAAGAGGTCAATCTTTCCCCAGCAGAGTCGCCAATTCTGTAGCGGTGAAAATCGGAGATCAAGCTATTAATTAACTTGACTCACAAAAAGCAAGAGTCGCCACCGCGCTTTATTATTTCCAAGGGAAAAGGGAAAAGAGCGAAATAAAACCCTAAAGTATGCAATGTAAAATAAGACTTAAAAGTAATAAAAATACAATGCGTTTTTGAAAGAGATCGAGAGTTCGGGGGTTGGTTATACAATGGGAAGGTATTAGCACCCAATGCATCTGCGGTACTCCGCAGGAACCTTTTGAAATATCTGTTTTTGGTTAAAATTGTTTGTTTGATTAGAATGGTTCGTTTGACTAAAAATATGGGTATGGACGAGATTTTTGAAGATGCGACGACCTAGTGTCGAAGTTTTGACTTAAAAGGTATGAGTTTGAAAATGGAGTCTTTTGGGAAAATTATCTTAAGTTTGGAAAAAAAATAGTAAATAAGCAAAAAATGGATGAGGGTATTCGCACGATTGTAACAAATATATTTGATGACATGAAGTCAACAAAGTTAAAAACATTTCCCTTGGAATTAAAACCACAGACAGATAAATAAGCTAAGAGTATATCAAACCTCAGGTGAAAATAAATCACGAGCCGACAGCGTCAAAAAAAAACCAGATGTAAGATAATACTCCCAGCAGCGAATAAAGCGCAATGAACCACAAGCGAGAAGTGCAACGCGTGAAAATAAATCACGAAAAAAGAAATTGTGGATGACGCTCACGGTATAAGATTCCCTACATCACATGAAAAACTCCAACAACCAGATAAACAGGGTAACAGAGAAATAATATGAACATCTCATGTGAAATAAAGAATCAAGCTATGGGACCGGAATGCGTCAAATCGAAATCCATAAAATAAACTGGTCAATGAAGTTTATACATCCGTTATATATTCGAAAATTAAATCGAGTTCAAAATGTGAAATCACAATGAAATGATATAAAATAGACAACATAACTTAAATTTATTTACAAGATAAAATTCTAACTAAATCTAAAACTCAAAAGTTTCTATTAAATAAAACAATGAGAAAATTAAATCACAAATTGAATTTATTTACAAACCAACAAATTAATTACACATTACATAATGTACTAAAGTAATCTAAAAAAACAAAAGATAAACATTATTACTTCTAAATTTAAAATCTAATGTCTTAACTTTTTATTTATTTTGGGATAAACTTTTGAATATAAAAAAACAATAAAACTAAATTAAAAGAGTGAATATACAAAAATGATAACTAAATTAAAAAAGAATAAAAGAAACAGAGCCACTACATGATTGAGGAGTATGTGCAGAAACTTACGCGGAAACGGAGGGTGATAGCTGGCGGAATCGTACCAGTCAAATTGTTGACATGAAGAAGCAATTTTTCCAATTTCAAAAGCTTACCAATATCCTTAGGAATAGAACCTGTCAACTGATTGGAGTAAAGCTCCAAAACTGTGAGATTTGCAAGATTAACAATTCCATCACCAATTGTTCCATCAATTTTATTCAATGGCAATGATATTTCAATGAGTGAAACAAACATCATAAACATCAATTGGGATATTCCCTGATAGTAGATTGAAACCTACTCTAAATCTCACAAGCTTAGAACATGCACCTAAACCAGTCTGAATAGCATCGTCAAAATCATTGGAAGAAAAATCCAAGAATCTCAAAGAAGAACTCTTATCTCCTTCAGCAAGATTCCGAATCAGAGAAACAGGCAATGTTCCATTGAATGAATTACTAGACAAATCAAACACCTGAACAACAACACTGCCATTTCTGATTCCATTCCAAAGTGGCAGTTCACCGGAGAAACGATTGTAACTCAAATCAAGAACTAAAAGATGGTTATGAATTGAAAAAAAACGGACTTTGAAGATTACCATGAAGTTTATTATGAGAGAGATTAAGATGAGAAAGAGATTGAAGAGAAGATGTGAACAGAGGCGGTTAGTAGTAACAGGCTCAGTAACACGATTTGAATCTTCAGAAGAAGAATCAATACCAGGAAGTGATACCGAAAGTGAAGTTGGAGGATCATTGGATTTGGAAGACGACGTCGTTTTCGATTCTACGAGAGGTAGAGCCGCAACGGTTCTTGTAGGGACAGGACGATAAATATGAGAAGAGTTCACTATAGGTACACTGGACTCGCTTACATCGGATCCAGAAGGACTTCCCGGAGTGGGAGGGTTCTTGTAAATCCCATTACCAACAGGTATAGCAGCACCAACACTTACAGATCTTTTCAACGGTGGAGATTCATCGATCATAATAGAAGAACACTTGCGTTTCAAAGTAGAGTTCCAGTGATTCTTAATCGCGTTGTCGGTTCGACCCAACAGAAGGCAGGCTATGGCAGATACGGTGAGGATGTTAAACGATGCAGTAGCGCGTGAAAAGGAAGAATGAGGGATAGGATAAGAGTTGTTTGGAGGGAGATGAAGGGTGTTTGGTAGTTTTCGGTGATGGTGGTCAGGAGTGGTTTCGGAAATGAGATAAGGGTGCTGGTAAGAGACTGAGTTGTGGTGGTTTAGTGGAATAGCGAAGAAGGGTTGTGTTTTCTGTTCTCTGAAACTCTTCTCGCGGTAGTTGAGACGAATCAAAATGGAGTGTGGTAGTGGGGAAAGTGATATGAAGTATGGTTAGAGAAAGATGTTGGTTTTATTGTATTTTTTTGTTGTTGTATTCCACAAAGAAAAAAGAGACTATTAAAGTAGTCAGATGAAGAGGAAAAATGATTTTAGCTTGCAATCATATCCGTCCATTATTTTCATTAATCCTGCACAACTTCTATCAACCAATTAGAAAAAAGAATAGTTTAACAAAAAAAATTAATGATTAAAAATCCCTCTAAAAATAAAAATGACTTAAAAACCTGAAAGTGTACAAATTAATGCAATTTAAAATATATTTTTTTGAATTTTTCTGAATAAAAATAAAGACCCAAGATGATCGAAAATGATAAAAAACGGACGAAAATTTATCCGAAAAAATAAAATGAACATATTAAAATAATCTACATGTCACAAAGATTAAAGAAAAAATATTCAAGAAGTCAAAAATCAAAAATAAAATAATAATAAAAATATCAGACTAAACAGACGTTTAAGGTTAAAACGAGACATCGAACTGTACCGAAAAATAAAGCGAGCATACCGTCATAATCTACGCGAAGCGCAGATTCATAAAATGATCGGTAAAAGGTGAAAACTTGAAATATTTTCTCGCTACTTTCCCGCATAGTGTCAAATCGCTTTTAACAGTTTGTCTATAAAATCAAAACATTTTTATTATCGACATATAAACAACTTGGAGCAGTGCGAGAAAAATAGTAAACAGATAAAAATGAATGAAGTGAAATGTCGGGTATTTTACAACTGAAAGACGATGCAAACTTTGATTTAAACTGACTTTTTCTGGTCAACTTAAATACGACTAATGATGCAAAATGTGATGAATGAAGATATTTACTAATGAACGTGACCAAATGACAAAATATGGTATGAATGTGCGAATGAAAAAATTAGGGGAGAAATTAAGGGTGCAACGGTGTGCCTTGATGACTCAGTCTTCGAGAATCTACAATCAACCGTACTTCGGGCTTGGGAGACTCAAAACCTTAATTGAGGCGCGACACCTGATGCTCTTGATTCAGACCTGTCTCTGCACATGACACAAAAGAAAACATGAACATACACTTTTGTATGCGATTAGAAATTAGTGATACATAGGCTCAAAATGTTCAAAACACTTGACAATCTTCGCATAGTCAAAGCTCGAAGGTGAGACGTTAAAACCGACCGTATTTCGTGACCTTGACTTATCTTAAAAATGCAAAAACCAAAATGGGATCTTAGGTCAAAAATTGGGGTACAACACTTCTCAAGTAACTCTTCCAATTGCTTCTTCAACTCTGACAATTCAGATGCAGACATCCTGTATGGTGCCATAGATACAGTTCTGGTACCAGGTACAAGATCAATTGCAAATTCAACTTCCCTCTCTGGCGGTACATCAGGAATCTCATCAGGGAAAACTTCAGGAAATTCACATACCACCTGCAATTCCTCAATTATATCTTGAGTCTCTACAGATAGCGATGCCATCAACGAAAACATTTGTGTTTCCTCTTGCATCAACTTCCTCAACTGTCTAGCAGACAACAGACCATCTTCCTCTTCTTCAGGATTAGAAAACTTCACCGACTTGTCATAACAGTTAATATGAACACAGTTATGCTCTAACCAGTTCATACCTAGAATTACATCCAAACCTCTTAACAGTAAACAAACCAAATCAATAACAAAGTCTCTATTGAAGATCGACAAGGGACACTTAGCACACACAAAAGAAGTAGTCACTAACCCCTTGGCTGGACTATCGACGACCATTTCTTCATTCAAAGAAGACAACATAAGATCCAATCTTTCAACACAATCAGCAGCAATAAATCAATGCGTAGCACCAGTATCAATAATAGTAATTAAAGGAGTACTATTAATGAAACATGCACCTCTAATAAGTCCATCCTCAGCAGCTATCTGATCCTCCACTACAGCGAACACTTTACCACTTGACTGAGCCCTCTTCAGTTTTGAACACTGACTACCACTGTGCCCTTCTTCTCTACAGTTGAAACAAATCACATTTTTATGTTCACACTCAGATATGACATGCCTGTTCTTACCATAACGGTAATATCTCTTTACTTCAACAGTGCACACATTACTCTTGTGCCCAGGTTTCCCACACTTAAAGCAAATCACACCAGCAGGAGCATCTCCCCCTCTAGTCCTCTGTCCATGAGAAACTCTCTGCTTACCTTTACCAGCTGGGGCATCATAAGGCTTACCATGATTCTGTTGGTGCTTACCCCTCTTATCACTAATAATCTTGTAATGAGCATTATTATCTTCCTCAATAATCCTGCAGCTATCAACCAAATCAGCAAAGACACGGATTTTCTGATATCCAACTTCTTTCTTAATCTCCGGGCGCAACCCATTCTCAAACTTAATACACTTTGAAAACTCAGCATTTTCCTCAGTGTAATGGGGATAAAACTTAGCCAACTCAGCAAACTTGGCAGCATACTCAACCACAGACGTACTTCCTTGCTTCAGCTCAAGGAATTCAATTTCCTTCTTACCATGGAAATCTTCAGGAAAGTACTTTCTCAAAAATTCTCTACGGAACACAGCCCAAGTGACATTCTCACCTGCAGCTTCCAACTTATGAGAAGTCTCTAGCCACCAGTCATCAGCCTCGACTGCTAGCATATGAGTCCCATAACGAACCTTCTGCGCTGGAGTGCAGTCCATCACGCGAAAGATTCTCTCAATCTCTTTCAACCACTCCAATGCTCCGTCAGGATCATACTTTCCCTTGAACGTAGGTGGATTCTCTCTCTGGAAAGTCTCCAAGCTACGAGATCCAGCATTTCCGTCAGCATTCGAATGATTTTCCATTGCATGAGCCATTGCTTCTAGAGCAACAACAAGTGCAACATCATTCCTTCCAGCCATCTCAACTTCTCACTACAACATAAACAACGATTAGAACTTAAATAACAATACTCGAATGTTAGAAAACTACGACTCGACGACAAGGTCGGACCAACCTTTTGCTCTGATACCAACTTTGTAACACCCCAATTCTACCCCAAGCAATTGTATAAATAAATCAGAGTTATAAATTCAAACATGCAACCGAATCGAGACATCACAAATTCTTCTATGAAATTAATTGCATTCATCGTGGATATATAACACTTTCAAAACATCAAATGAACCATCATAACGTCTTTAAATACAATAATTCAACATCTACGCAGCAGAATTCTTAATAACATCTTTAACAACTCAAAACAGCAACTTCGAAACATCACATATTTAATAATAATCAATTTAAGGTTCAACAATTAAAAATCAACAATAAAAAATTAGCAAGCTTTAATCCCCTGAGTGTTACATATCAGAGCAATGACACTGACTTGAACTATTGAAGGTATACATCCTTCACTCTCGATTACCTGCACGTTACCAACATAAGGGCAACATTCAAACAGAAGGGGTGAGATATATAACAATATAATAAAGTGCATGATAATTAATATATTGAATTAGATCAATAACATCACCACTTCTCATCTCATAATCAACAACAATTACAACACATGTACACATTCATCAACGTCAAAATACACTTCTTTATACAATCATCTAATGTGACTCAATACTATGCAAATGCATGTGGTACCGTTGGAGCAGAACTCCCATCTCAAAAATTTGCCAATTAATAGAGGCATCAACAAGGCATAGCCTTCATCTCAAAATTTGCCAATCCAGGCCATCTCAACGAGCATAAGCTCCATCTCAGAAATACAATGTATGCGACTCAACCATGAATGTAATAACAAAACCCAAGTCAACAACATCTAAAATCATCTCAAAACATCTCAAATTAACATCTCAAAATACATCTCAAAATAACATCTCAAAATACATCTCAAATTAGCATCTCAAAATAATATCTCAAAATAACATCTCAAAATACATCTCAAATTAACATCTCAAAATAACATCTCAAATGCATCTCAACGTCTTGTCATCAACATCTCATATCAGCAAAATAATTCATTAAACATCGTTTATTCATCAACGTCATTTATTCATCATAAATTATCAAACACAACTTCGTTAATAACATCTCACTAATAACTCAGTTGTACATTAATACTACAGTAATCCATACTGTTATTCTTCAATTTTACATCGCTACTGTCACTAATCCTACTGTCATAATTCAAACAGCAGTCTCTAACATCTCACATTCATCATTCTGTTCAAAAGTTAGCACAACGACCAACACGGGAAATAATTCTAAATCCTAAATTGTCTACTAGGATTACACTTCTTATTCATCATTTTAATCATCTAGAATAAAGGTCATCACGTTAGCTGTTCAACGCTTCAAACGACATCTCAAACAGCATCCTAAAATTCAAGTTATATCACTTTAAAACTGAATCTGTCAAAAATCAGACATTATGGGTCGACGCAAAATCCTTTGGATTGATGTGTACTGCTTCATCTTCACAACATGAGTCGACACATCCTCCTTATGGATCGACTCATCTGGGTCTCATAAACAGCATGTATCGACACAGCATCTCTCCGATTGACTCAACCTGAGTCTTGCAACCTTCATGTGTCGACGCAAGCCCCTTTCGTATCGACTCATCCTGAGTCTTACAGCCCTCATGTATCGACACATCAAGTTTGAGGTCGACACATCCTGACCCTTTCTGCATAATTTCATGATTTCCTCTACATTTTTACTACGCGAATCATATTCTTAACCTTATAAACCTTATTATAATCATGATAAATCATCACCTAACATTATCCTATATTACTACATCGATCAAACAACATAATGACATCATTATTCATCTAAAATTCATCAAATCTTCATCATACATCATCATATACATCCAATTCAAGAACAAAACAGCAGTCCCATCTAACCCCACATATCAATCACCATGAACCCAATTATAAGGTCAGAACCCTACCCTTACCTTGGATTGAAGGTCGCTCTACAATTTCCGGGTTGAATTCACGTTCTTGCCATTTTCCACTATTTCCAGCAGCTCCACGTTCTCTTCCAAATCCTTATTCTTTATACTTCTTCTTTCTTTCTATTCCTTGTAACAAATAATAAAATAACCCTATTATTCAATTATTCCTTATTGGGCTCAAAACCTGCACCCCCTTATTACTTCTACTTCCTCAAAATAAGCCCACATTAAATGATATTACACTTCTAATATTATTTCTCCACATAATAAAATAAATCCAATTAATCACAATACAACTTCTCAAATATTCCAAAAAAATAATTTAATAAAATAATTAATTAAATTACGGGCGTTACACCTTGAGTAGTCAAGGAGAATATGGGACCGTTGTGTGGTGTCATGAAGCACTAACTGACTTTAGAACCTTTACTTGACCAACTTGTCCATTAGGAAGTAATGAGATAGCCGACTTTGGTGCAGTCCGAAGTTGGTTGATACTCGATACTGTACTCATTGAGATCAGACTTCTCAGGATATTTTGGTCGCTGTGAAAGAGGCTTGCGCTGAAACAATGCCCGATAAGAAAGATCAGTGATATTGAGATCCCTTAGAACCCAGTTATTATTTCTAGGACAGGTTTAAGCCAACTAAACTTCAAGAGGATACTTACCTATGAGACTCCATGCAAGCCTAAACCTAAGGACTTATTTTCCTTGTTTGTATATACTTATTTGTACATAACATCATAAATATCATGACATCATACTCATTCTCACTAACCATTTCAAGGATTTTTGTGATTTATCTTTGTTCTGTTTTGTAGGACATGACTTCTATCCGCATGAATACTATCCAAGTTAATCTCGTAAGAGTTCCTCCTCAACTCAAAGATTTAGCATCAAGGGTCCCTGAGAATTCCTCATTCACCGAGAGACATGGTCGCCTCCTAAGTTTGGTTACCTCTAACACTGATGAAGATATGATGAAGGTGCTTTTCCAATTCTTTGATCCTCTACACCATTGCTTCACTTTTCCCGATTATCAGCTTGTACCTACTCTAGAAGAATTCTCTCAACTATTGAGGATTCCCATTCTCAATTAAATACCCTTCAATGGTATGGAAAGAGATACAAAACCTAAAGAGATTGCTCAAGCACTACACTTGCAACAATTTGATATCACGACTAACTGGGAAACAAGGAGTGGTGTCAAAGGTTTCTTAGCCAAGTACTTGTTCGAGAAAGCTCAAGATTGTTGGAACTCTTTGGACTTACAAGCTTTTAAAGAAATCTTGGCCCTTCTCATCTATGGGATGGTTTTGTTTCCAAACCCTGACTAACTTATAGATGTAAATTCTGTCAAAATCTTCATGTCTCGCAATCTGGTTCCTACTTTGTTGGGAGATATCCTACATTCTTTTCACTATCGCACTATGAGGAAGAGAGGGATCCTCATGTGTTGCACTCCTCTCTTGGCTAGATGGTTTAATTTGCATCTTCCCTGGTTTGTGTTGAAGAACAGGCAAGGTTGGAGGTGGTCCCATAGGTTGATGACGCTCAGACATTCAGATATTCATTGGTGTTATCGATCCTTGGAGAATGTTACTATCATCAACCGTTGTGGGAAATTCCCTAATGCCCCTTTGCTTGGCATTATAGGAGGTATCAATTACAACCCTTTCTTAGCCTTGCGACAATTTGGTTATGCCTGAAGGGACGGTCCTCATGATATGCCCATCCAAGGAGTGGTATTCGACTATAAGAATTCCATTCCCCTTGAGCCTTACCTTAGGTGGGTACGAGCTCGTGCTCAGAAACTTATGATGCCTTATCCCTCCATATTACCAGTTATCATGGAGCCTGTGGTTGAAGGAGATGTCCCGTACACTGTCCTCCATCCCGACAAGCCTACTTCTCTTGAAGACTTGAAAAAGGGTTGGATTCAGATGAAGGAAGAACGAGATAACTTCTAAGCTCAATTCTATACTAGTGAGAAGAGAGTCTTGGAGCTTAGAAATCAGCTACATGAAGAGCAAAGCATGAACGCCTACCTTGCGCCGAAGAGGATGTGTTCGGTCTTTTTATCTTAGAAATTTATTTTGTAAACCCAAGAGGCATGATGTAATCATTTTGAACTAATTAATGAAATTTGACATTTGTTCATTCTTTGTCTATACAAATTTAAATTTCATAAATCCTTGAAATCATTTGCATATACATCTTTCATGCATCATAATATAACAGGTTTTCACACAACAGGTTTCCTTATCTTTC